CCATATGCTTGTCACTAAATACTGTTTCAGCAATCATTGGTGTTGAATGCAAGCATTATTTACGTTCTTGTAACTAGCCAAGGTCCACCTCAATACTGACTGTGAAAAAGTTGATGGTATCATATCTTGTCTAGAATTAATAGCAAAATGTTTGCACATCTGTTGATAAAAAAGAGCAAGAATCATCAGAAAGTCTAGTGTACCTTACAGAGAAGTTTGCTCATGACAGAGTAAAGATAAAAATTCTCACCACTCACACTTGAAAAAAATAAATAAAAAAAAAAAACCAGTGGAATGATTTCTGAAAAAAAAAAAGCAGTAGGGCCAAGTAAAATGCACACTAATATTACCAATAACTCTTACTAGAAATCACGTGGTTCACAAAATGTTTTCCAATGTTCATTCACAACTAGAAATGACACATCCTCATAGGACAAAAGCTTACTGTATTGCTAACGCTATGTGGATTAGATTTCAATAGAAAAAAAATAGAAAAAAAAAGTACATGCTGCAACTATTCATGTTTCAAAGAGACTGAAAGGTATTTCCCATAGTTGTTTACAGATACATAGTTGAAAGAACTGCTCATTTAATTATTTTTAACCTAATGGAGAAATGGTAATGAAAATAATAAAAGTCCTGTATATGGTACTACAACCCACTATTTTCAGTTCTTACATTACACCATTTCACTGTTGATGCCGATTAGCTTTCGAAAACATCCTCCTTTTTACAGTTCAGTGGAAAGCAAGACTACAGGAGGCACTTCCAGGTGAAGGGCTTGCACATCAAGCTTAATTATTTTACAGTATAATGAAATGCACCATAGATTTCATGATATGAGCACGAAACTTATGAAGGATTTAGGGCTATATTTTTTTTTCCTTTTCTTTTTAGCCCAAACTGTTTGGAATTACAGAAACTAAATTTGTCCAACTTGAACAAAAGACAGAATCAAGCACTGGTTCTACAATACTGACTTTTCCATATGGTGCAGCTAAAAGGATCACAGAATGTTTTTACCTACTAGAAATATGGTACAACAGGTAAGGAATGCTCATTTGCAACTTCTATAGGAAATTTCAGCTTTTTTTAAGCATAGTGAAAATTGGAGGACAGAGACAGAGCAACTGAATGTTATTCACTTCCTTCAGAAACTGCCTGCTCTGATACAACTCTGTCTTAAAATTGAAAATCTGAGCACGCCCATGTCGAGGGTGCTGTGCAGTGCTCCACTGAAGCAAACATCACACGTAAAAATTGTTGATAAACTCTTTTATCGTACATGTCTCATTCACCTAGAAACAAGTAATAGTGACGGTAGAGACCGTTCTCTCGGTGAATGAATTTCCCAAAACGGCAGGAAATGCTCTCTCTGCAGCACCTGGCTTTGCAGCTCCGTGCTAGTAAACAGCCTTTACCCAAACACTTTAACTCCATTCAGGCATATTATATTGGGAAAATAATAAATAAAAGATTATTTTTTCAACAAATTCAGTTTTACCAACAGCCGACTGCAGCTTGAGGAAAGACCAGGTGGGGAGCGGGGCCCGTTGGAAGCACCGTCAGGGGCACGGCGTCCGAACAACACCGTGCCTTGGAGGCCGGCACAAGGGCGGATGAGCACCCTCGCTCAGAAACGAAATAAAGGTCTGCTCGTGAGCACACGGGATGCCGCTAACTGCGGGCCTGCCCCCCGCCCCGGCCGTACCTTCCCGCCGCGCTCCCGCGCCGCCGCGGCTCCAGCTGCTGCCCACACAATGAGCCGCTTTCAGACGTGGCCGAGGCGCCGGGGCAGCGGGAGGGGCGCAGGAAGGAGCCGGTCCGCCCCGCGCCCCCGGAGCATCCCCGGGCACAGCAGCCGCCTGGCAGGGGCCGCCCCCGCCCCCCGCCCGCGCAGCCCCCGCGAGCGCGGGACAGGTCCCGGAGCGGCCGCGGAGCCTCCAGCCGCAGCGCGTGGGCCAGCGCCCGGGCCGGCGCCCCCCGGCGCACTCAGCCGTGGGGCCCAAGAGCGCGGGGGCTGCAGCGGCCAGGCCCCACGCCAAACGGGTAGGATGGGAACGGACCCTAGGGCCACAACCGCATTGTGGTAATGGGCAAGAAACAAACAGAGGCATCAGGAAGGCTCTGCTTTCTTTTTTAAGTTTGCAGCCTTCACCCTGAGGCAAACTCTTTGCATTCCAAGCATTCTTGCTCCCGCTTTTATTAGGTACGGGATGAAACAGTACCTTTTGACTTCTAAGCCACTGCTTATTTTGTCTCTCATGCAAACATTTCCAGAACTCTTGTTATTCTTGACTTTCCCGTGTGTCCTTCCTCAATCTGCAGACATTAGCTTATGCTCTGGGATACCAGCACATGGAAGATCACTGTGTTTTGTTTTTAATCTTTTCATTTATTGTTGTTTAGCAAGCCAAAGTAACTTAAGAGTCTCATACAGAGCCTTCCAAAACCAACTCCTGCTTCTTAAAGATACGTCAGCTGTAGTAAGAATCTCAAGAATATAGGTGTTATTTTTTATAGTACTTCAGCTTCCCACTACAAACATTAAACTGCACCTACTATTTTTATTACCTTGCTACTTAAAGTAGTAAAACGCCACTTTGTGCGTGCACAGTCACCTTCATACTTTTCTGTCTAAACACTAACCTCAATAACTACCCACCTTTTTCTGAACATTTTGATTAGAACAGTTACAGACACAATCCAAAGATATCAAGGATCTTTCATTGGGTAAAGGATATGAAATAATAGGGTCAGTTTTCATAACAGAAAGAGGCAACTGAAGATCATCACAACCTGTTGGACTTTGTTTGTTTGTTTTTACTAATTTAAACACTGCCCAACTGACATGCTGGTTAGAGGCTGACCTGCCAAGAAGGACGCTAAGTGTCAGTGATACAGGAAGTTACCACAAAAAAGGTACTCCAAACAGTTCTTTTCCTTTCTACTGCCACATACTGCTCTTTTTATACCATGTTCTTATTAGACCCAGTAGTAAAATGCTTTTCTTTCAAAAGAAATAAACTTGAAGATTGCTTTAGGTCACCACTAAGGATTTAACTGTTTCTGATCGCGCTCTTTTATTTACATAGTTCTCTCTCTCTCTTTTTTTTTAAATAATTACTGTAGAAGATCTTTTCCAGTTTTCCAAACAGAAAAACAGATTTTTGTATATTTTCCTTAACTACTATAGATCTTTTCCAGTTCTCCAGATCTTTCCAAAAGATCTTTTCCAGTTTTCCAAAAAGAAAAACAGAATTTAGTATATATTTTCCTTTATACTTCCTGAACCAGATCTATTCCACTACTACTTATGTGCATTCGATGAATTCTTTCATTCCATACCAAGTTGTGATAAATTAGACTTCCCCAAGAAACAGCAGGGGAGAGATAATGGAACCTTCCATTATTATTGTTGCCATTTTCTGGCATTAGTCTCTTCCCAGTTGCTAGCTCCAGCAGGTTTCTGCTCAACTTGTCCTTTTAAAAAATAAGATTCATAACAGACCAACAGCAGCTCAGACCTCTAAGATAGGGTTCAATGGCTAACCTGGCCATCCCTTTCTTATTCCCATTCTAATGCTTGTGCAGACATCTACCAAATCAATTCAGAGAATATACCTCATTGAAGACAAATTTCCTATACTTGGTAGAGTGAATCATCATAATGAGTGAGGTCCATGAATTAACTAACAGTCATACAAGCATTAACAGCACTGCAAGGGAAGAGAGAGCTGGGACTACTGCAGAACCAGGGTACCTCAGCTTAGGGTACTACTGCAGATCCAAGTTAACAGGCTCCTTCATATACCCAAAGTAGTGCCTAGAAACACTAAAATGAAGGAGACAGTTGCTTAGACACTATGCAGTCTGATACAAAATCTATTATCAATAGCACTAAGCTATCACAGACAGTCGAAAATAAATAAAGCACACACACACACAAACACCCTCACACAAAAGCAAATTGGAGGCTTCACACTAAGAAGCAGTGAATGCTCCTTAAAAATGTTTCACAAGCACAAAAGTGTACTGAATAGCCAACACATCATTCCCCACATTAATATTTAATTTACATTGCAGAATACATTAGAATCCATCCCGCAGATAATGGCTGGAAGAAATGCAAGCTGCAAGATTTCTATGTTTAAATATGTAGAAACAGAAGTTCAAGAAAAGCTGCCTATTTTGCAAGAGAAGGAGGGGGGAAAAATAAAAAAAATAAAATTAAAATTAAAATTAAAATTAAAAAAGAGGAAGGTTTGCAAACTGCTAGGATGTTCAATTCCAAAGGGCCATGTTCAGGAGATGGAGTTCTGCTTTCAAGTTGTTTGTTGTTCTTCCACATTTAATAATTGAAATATATCTTAAGAACTCAAGAAAAACAGAGACACTAAGTATTTTTGTTAATAGTCATCTAGAATTGCCTTACACTTCCTCCCTCCCTAACACTTTTTATTAGGATTATCTCTTAAAACAAAACTTAAATTCTATTGCTTTTCCTTTTAAGTTTTTGTGGTGTAAAGAATAAGCTCAGAAAAAGAAAATAAGCTAATTCATTTTTCTGAAGTTCAATTTTTTGTTCACTTTTTTCAATTAATTACTAATCTTCTAAGTAACTACTAATCTTCTTCTAACAATTATGGTCTAGTGCTACAATAGTAATACAACTAACAAATGACTGCACAAAGTGTCCAGATACTATCACCTGTGACCCAGTTTCTCATATCAACTTTGACTTTATCCATCATTTAACAAATTAAATTGGTAAGCCACTAGCTAGAGAAGTGTAGATATAATTCCATCTCAACCTTATTGAGAATAAGGTTCCATTGGATGGATTGGAGAATGGAATCCTTCCATTCTCTCCAGTCTTTTTTCACTGGCTTCTTTCCTTTCATAGTGCAAATGAGCACACATACAAACAGGCAGCGTAACTCTCTTTAAGCTCAGCAGTTCCTTTATTTACAAGGGAGCAAAAACGTTAATATACCATTTTCAGTCTTTGTCTTTTAGCTAGACTAAGCAAGGCTGAATTGATTTCTACAGCTTTTTGAAACGCTTACAGAAAGTATTCAGTTGGTCTTTAACTGTCCAAAATATTAAAAATGGCAATCCCAAAGCAGTGTTCCCTTAGAAATATACGAATGGATACAAAGAGAAAGGGGGGCTGGGAAGTGGGAAGAAAGAATTACTGTCAAAGAAAGAACCAAATATTTGCAGATCATACTTACACTGTCCTTAAGTAAAAAGAATTGTATACAGAATAAAAGTAGACATGCATTTTTGCACTGCATTTCTTTGAAGCTTTTTCAAGCATCTCTTCAGGACTGGTGTGGTTTGTAGGTCAACAGTGGAGACACTGGCAGAAGCGGTGATATTGGAGTTGTACTCAACACCTGATTCTGGAACACAAATATTTTAACCCTACCAAACACCCAAAGAAATATAAGTAGGATGCTGACATACTGGATCCAAGCAAATTTAATCATCTCCCAAAATCCCGGCTGATACTTAAAGAAAGTCAAGGAACATTAATTGAGAAGCTTCTGATACTACTACACAATAACTAAACTAAAGAACCCTTGAGGCAAAACAGCATAAAATAGGTTAGATGTCAGCTGAAAAGACTTTGAGGCAATGAAACCTCAAAAAGTCTTTTATTACAATACACAACAGAAGTTGCAATAAAATGTCTGACCAAGAAAACATCAGAATTAATTCTGTCTATTTTGTCCCTGGCTTACCAGAAAGTAGGCAGGTAAGCAAATCTGATGAGAGGCGTGGTGTATACAGCGTCTTCTAAACACAGGCTTGTTCTTATTTGAAAAACTGAGTAAAGAATGTAATGAACAAAGAATTACACTGCAGTAAAATGTTCAGCTCTTTCTGTACGTGTACCACATCAGAGGGGGCCAATGCAGGTAGTAATATCTGGTGGGGTTGTTTCACATACAGAGTCCAAATAACTTATTTTAGGTCAGAAACCAGAATATCAAGTTTGGTCAGGGGCATCCTTGACAGACTGAGACCGCAGGTGTTCAAGCAAAGCAAGATTTACTGATGATATTCACTATAAATGGCTAATAAATTGATGTAAAGGACAGTTTAAGAAGGCTGAAAAGAAACACAAGCTCCCTCTCTCTAGAGAAAGGTGGCAAGCATTTGTTCAAGCAGAACCATCCCAAGGATGCAGACAGTGGGAAAGACATGCAACTGTATCTGCAACATAGAAGGACAGATACGTGAACAAATCTGAAATTACTAAGTGTATGGTTAGCTAATACGGGAAGATTAGTAAGTTTACGGAAAATAATTAAAAAAAAAAAGGATAGTGCTATTCATTTGGCCTGTATTTTAAGGTCTGCATAATGCTATCTGGTTATGTTACATTTTACAAAGGATATATAATAACTTCCACTGGGTAGTGAATAGTGGCATTAATGATAAATGGTGTGTCTGCTGCTCTTCCAATCATCCAAACAGGGTTGGGATTTGACAAGATTGTTGTTACTACAACAAACAAAGAATATTTCCAGGTTAAGGGGCTTTTCCTTCTTAATACAGAATCAAATCCTCATAAACTGCAGTTTGCTACTGCTGTCCTGAAAGTAGCAGCTACACGTTCTGGCTTACCATTTCTATCTTGATACGCTGCAACGATGTTTGTTAGATCATAGTCACTGGCAAAAGGACTTGTGCCATTGATCACAGACACCTGTTACCATAGGAAAATACATGCATTATTTGGCTGCTTGTCCAGAAAGCAATTGTACTGAGTTTGTTACACAAAGTAATCATGCCTTTAAAGACAAGACAAACATCTGCTCTAGGTATAAGTAGTTAGGGTGTCATCTATGATGCTACAAAAATAGAGAGGATAACTTAGGGAAGAAAACCAAATTTTCTCACATTGTATCTGGTATCCAGTCCACAATGGTTAAGTAATTGCCTCTGGTTTAGTTTCAGGTCTCCATTCACATAGAGACGAGACCCTGGTAGAGGAGAAAAAAACTGAAGGAAAGCCATGCTCTGCATCACAAATGTTGACATCCTCTGAAACAGTGAACATGAGAGAAGAGAATTTAGGGAAACAAACATTTTAGTTGCTTTGTACCTATAGACTTTCTGCATGAATTTTATAAATTTCCAAGTTTCAGATCATCACATCATTCTAGAGAAAGAGTTTTTTGAGACCCCTAGAGAAGGGTTTTTTGTTTGTTTTCATTTGTTTTAAGCAAATTAGTTGTTAGCTAACCAACCTCATAAAAAAAATCCTCAGGTCATTCACTGAGGTACAACAATTTGTAGCAAATGACAAAAAGACTGGACATGTCTTTTGCTGTAACACGTAAAAAGTAGTAAGATGATTAAACAAACTTACTGGGGAGACACACTCAAACTTTCATCCATCAAAGCCAAATAAGGATTCCTGCCCTGCAATAAGCGCCACAGAAGGAAATGCCTTAGCCCTCATTGACTCCTCAGTCTGAAGGAAAATTTTAACTTTTTTTTTTTTTGTAAAACAAAGGCAATGTGAATATCTGAACCTTCCATAAATATTAACCACTGACCAAAGACTTCCATACATAACAAAGTTATGATTGCTAGCCTCTGAGCCTCAGAAGCTTAATAATGTACTTTACACCACATCACTATGTTTGCTAAGCTTGTCCATCTGCAATCAGGTAAAGTACCTTGGCTAAACTAAACCTGAACTCTGTAGGAAAACTTGTTTATGTTGTTCCCTTCAGAACCATCCATGGGGTTTTTGTGTGCTAGGGTTTCACCCACTGCCCTAGGTATTAATGGAACCATGTTTTCAACACTTTGCCATTCAAGAGAGCCACAGTTCTGCTGCTGCTATTGCATCCTCCAACCTCCCTGCTAGACAAGACCTCTATCTTCTGGCCACTCTACCCTTCTTCCCCCTCACATCTATGATGTACAAAAGATCCTGGTAGATAATTACCATTAGTTCAAGAATTGCTAAATAAACAAAGCTTAAGATTTTTAGATTGCTGCAGTAACTTGCCTGTCCATTTCAGAAAACTGTCTATGTCATGTGCACAGCAGTATTAAAAAAAAAGAAAAAAACAAGAACTGCAAAATTCTTGGATATGTTCTGATGCCATCACACCCACGTAAGCCACATTAGAGACCAAAAGAACACACACCTTAAAACAGAACAAAACTCTAAAGGAAGAAGGATTAAAACAGATCAATACTCTAATGGAACCTATTATCAAAGAACCATTAAAGTTGGAAGGGACCTTTAGAGATCATCTAGTCCAACTCCCCTGCAAATGCAGGGTCACCTAGAGCATGTGGCACTAGGATTGCATCCCAGTGGGTTCTGAATAGTTCCAGAGAAGGAGATTCCACCACCTCTTTTGGCACCCTTTACCAGAGCTCTGTCACCTTCACTGTCAAAGCACTGAACTAAATTAGAAAGAAGTGACCTAAACTGCATTATTACTGAACACTATAGAAGACAATTAAGTATTGTTAAGTTAAATCTTCTGGATACCAATTTCAAATGTGTAAGGGTTCTTTTATCCTTTGCGTAATTGCTACTGGAATATTACAGTGGGCTTAAGTGTCACAACAAATAAAATCATAAATATGCTCACGTGAAGTTGGTAAGAAAAGATCAGAATCAGCTGAACACCAACTACATATTCCGTAGATTGTAATGGAAGCTCCAACTTAAAATGCAACTGATCCATTTTCCCATCTTGATTTTTGTCTTCTTCTCTCGTCTAAAAGAAACAATAGCAGTTTAACAGTTCTTGCCTTAAAAAAGTGCATTTGAAGATTCAATACTCAGATTTCCACAACCATAACATGCCAACATAGTAAAGAAACTTAAAATAAATAAGCTGCATTATTAAAATTATAACAACAAAACAATGAAAAGCCACTTGACTTTAAAGACAAGGCTTTAGAGCCAAGCAAGATGTCTGCATTGAGTTTACTATACAAGGTTCAACATACTCCCCAGCGAGGAAAAACTTGTCAGCCTCTTCAAAGACCTATGTCATTCTGACCATCTTTCTTGCATGCCACATAGTAAGTCTTAGCACTCCTCTAGCAACTGTGACTGATGGCCATGAACTTGCCCCTTGCCTTTATGCCACACAATATAGCACCCTGACCAGCTGCGCTTTGATGGCACCTGTGGGCTGTTCCTTTGCATGAGTCTTGGCTGCAAGGACACCAGTGTGTCCATGTCCTCAGAGGACTGATTAAAATTTCCCTATCCAGATCAAGTCCACCGTGAGGCAGTAAAAAGAAGGAGCAGCCGTCTCCTAGTGACAGCACTCAGAGTCAAAGTCTCCTCGGCCTGCTGAGGGGTACCGCTCCCATCAGCGACCAGTGCCCAGGTCCGCCTCGGCCAGGCCTACCGACAAGAGGGGGACGCGCAGCCGTTCCTCCTGGAGCCGGTTGAACGCTGGGAAGGTGCTCCACGCCAAGAAGCTGCCCGGCTCGGGCCCAGTGGTGGCCACGAAGAGCACCTCGTAGCGGAACCGCACGGTAGGCTGCTCCAGGTAGGTGCTCTGCTTCAACCAGAAACCTGCGGGCAGAGACTACGGGGCCTCAGAGCGGGCTGTCGGAGGGGCTCAGCGCTGGGGTCTGCCGCGGGGCCCGGCGGCGCTTACCGTGGCTCCGGTAGGCCACCAGCAGCGGCGGTACGTAGGTGAGCGCCCCGATAAAGAGCAACGCTAGCGCCGCGGCAGAGCAGAGTCCAGCCCGGTATCGCGTGTGGAACGCGGGGTGAGAGAACACCTCCACGCCGGCCATGGCGGAACTGCAACAGCCGACTCTCTCACCCTGGCAACAGACAGAGCGGTAGACTGACGGAACAGCGCGCCTATCGCAATGCAGAGCACCTTGGGCGGGATGAGCGCGTTAGCCAATGAGCAGCATCGCCCGGCGCCTGAGCGGGAGGCTATTGGCACCTCCACGAGCCCGCCCGCGTTAGCCCCGCCCCACGTGACTATGCATGGCTGCAGCAACCCCGCCCCTCCGCCCTGTCCTGAAACGGAAGTAGTACTTTTCGGGTGGTTGCTAAGCAACTGGGGAGTCGGAAGTCCCGCCCGCCGAACCGCGCCGCTGTTGTTGTTGTTGTGACAGGCCCGGCCGCCCGGCACGAGCTCCCGCCGCTCGCACACGGGCTCTGCCGCCGCCGTCAGCCTCGCCATGAAGTGGATGTTCAAGGAGGACCACGCGCTGGGTAAGGGCGGGCCTGCGTCGCCATCTCCCGGGGCTGCACGGCTCCCTAGGCCCCAGCAGCTGCCCGAGACTGTTCGTCGTGACCGAGCGGCCACTGCGGAAGGTGCCTGGTGCCCGGGGTGGCTTCTAGACAGTCGGGGTCTCTAGGGGCATGTCGCTCCAGCTCCTGTCCTGCAGGCACTGGCCGCAGGTGCAGGCCCTGCTGTTGCCATGGAGTGACTAACTGCAAGTTTTGTCCCCAGAGCACAGATGTGTCGAGTCCGCAAAAATCCGAGCCAAATACCCTGACCGTGTCCCGGTGAGTAACCATGTCTGCCTCATCCTGGATTTGGACACAAGAGAAGATCCACTGTTTCCATCCTCTTCTCTCTTCTTTCACCAAATCCCACTGAATAGATTTCTCCTGCCTCCTGGGTGTTCAGAGGGTACCCCAAAAGATTTCAGTAACCCAAGCACTCCATCTGCCCCAGTGGTACTGGCATGTAAACATGAGTACCAGAACTCTTTCCAGAAGTATTTGTAGTTTATCAGTGTCCCGGTTTCTTTTAACAACAACTGTGCCCCAATAGGGGGTCCTGTGCCTTTTTTGAGCATTTTGATTACTTCCTTTGCATCTGAGCCCAAGCAAAATGATAAATTCTTATGTGCCTTTAAAATGCTCTGTTGTGGCTATATGAGGGAGATAAAATTACTTAAAGGCATGAAGGAAAATTATCTCACTGAACTCCGGCAAGCCTTCCTTGCATGAGTGATGACCCCCCCCCTTTTTTTCTGCACTGCATACCTACCTACATACTTTCTAATTAGTGAATAACCTTTCTTGCTTACCTCACAACCCCTTCTATTGTGTTTCAGTGAAATGACCACACTTTACTATCTTCTGCAACAACTAGCAAAGTATTCAACCTTTCAACTTACCTACTTGTCAAAAAAATTTCCCACATCCTGTCTGATCATAGACTAGTTAGTTCCATGCCTATCTGATCTCTTAAAAAGTAACTAGTCTAATAGATAGAACAGTCCAGACAAGAACCGTTAACCTTATTTTGTCATTTGCCTTTCTCTGTTGAGTTGCACCTAATTCTGTGACAACAGCAGCATCTTCTCCAACTGCAGTCTGGCAAGTTGATCCCATCCTTCCCTTCCTTCTCTGCTTGGCTAGCTACCTACTCCCTTATAGACCGTAGAATGCTAATAACAATATATCTTCACAGTTATCCATTAGTCCAGAATATTTTTTCATAACTTTAAAGGAAAGAGAGCCATTGGAATGATAACATGGTAAAATATCAGGAATGGGCAAAAAATACTGCCTAAAAGAAATTTTTAATTACAATGTGATCCGTTGTCTGGAGAGATATATATTTTCTCTTTCATACTTTAGTCTCGTACAAAGTAGTTGCTATCAAATATATTTTGATACTGAATAATCAAAAGTGTTTTCAGACTTAATACCTGCTCTATGCTTTCCAGATTATAGTCTCCATCCAGGGTGCCATGGGTCAAAGCGACTTCAGATCTCAACAGTTCTCAGCTGTTTCTGGCTACCTGGATTTTGAGATATTTCTGTGACTCAAACATCTTGAGATGGACTGAGATAGCCTATGAACAGCCTGCTTTTATTCTGGCCTGGCCCCTTTAGAAGAATAAAATGGGAGTTAGAAGAAATTCATTCTCATTAAGCACTGCTATTTTAAATTTGCCTGGGGATCAAGCCCCAAGCCAAGGGATAAAGGTATATGTAAGTTTTACTACAAGTAACCTGTGATTAAATATAGTAATAAGTAAAACAATAAGTAAACAATACAAAAAAAAAAAGTAAAGCAAAAACTATTGTTTTACTTATTACTATATTTAATCACAGGTTAAGGCTTGAATCCTCCTTTCAGGATGCTCATTCTTTACTAAATTCCCCCATATTAATTTACACGGGCCAGCTTTTATGATTTCTTTCTCTATAAGCAGAGGTACTGGAAGCTGTAGAAAAGATAAAGAGAACCCCCTCCGGATCATAAGATTGTATATTTTGTAAATTTACTTGGGTATTAACTATATGCTGCAGTAATGAGGAAGGTAGAGTTAAGCAATGACACCACTGGAACCTCTTCTCAGCTTTGCTTCCCCATACATGCTGCATTTTTTTTTCTTCAAGGCCTAGTGCGTGTAGAGTCATAAGCATCAGATCCTTTCTACAAGCAATATTTAATTCTCCTTCCTCCCATATGTCCTGCTTTTTATGTTTTTGTTTGTGGCCATCTTGTCATGCTTCCTTCCGCTAGTCAATTACTTAATTTTGTAAAGTATAAAGTAAAACATAAAGCAGAGAATACCATCCAGTGATTCATAGTATGACAGCAAGAACATGGAAGATAAAATTATGATCTACATAGCAGTTAAGAATATTCAGCATTGTCCAAGTTAAATTTTCTTGTCTCCTGAAAACATGTTATTGCAAAACAGAGTCTGCAAACATCCCAAAATGGAAACATAGGCAGTCTTTTTACTTTTTTTTTCAAAGCAGTAGACAAAAGGCTCATGCTGTAAGTATGAGCTTCATTAGGTATCTCTGTTGTGTCCCGGTATGTTTTATTTTCCCAGTCTCCTAGTGAAGGAAAAGGACAGCCATGTTCCTGTAGTCTGGCAGTGTAAGGATGTGTGGCGTTTTGTTTTGTTTTCTTATGGCCTTCTTGGGCCAAAGAGGTATGTAGGAGTCCCACTGGACTTTCATTCATATGTAGCTAAAACCTACACTTATTAGTATGGCTTCACTGTTATCACATAACTTCATCCAAACAACTGATTCTAATTGTGCCATTGATAATACCAAATACATACATTACTGGATTGCCAGGCAATGTAAGATTGTCCTGGCAGAGGCACACAGACAAGATGACAGCACAGCATATTTCTGGTAATGGGCTAGGGGGTTCAGCTAACATCAGCAGCAGACCAGGTGGAATTCGAGTGCACTACAGCTATGTTCCATTTCTCTGCCATACTGCGTTATAGAGCCTGGCAGAAATGCATGTTGGATGACTGTGGGAGGTCAGTAACATCTGCAGGATGAATTCTACTAACCCAGGCTGGACGGGTAAAACCAAGGGCAGCACTGTAAACAAACAACCACCTAGTTTACAGCGGACTAGAACCTTGCATTGTGGTACCACAGTGCACAGTACAATTCTATCGGAGTTTTGTCTATATTCAGCTATACCATGGCTTCTTCAATACTGCAGTAAGTTATCTAGAATAGGTATGTGCCTCTATCTGACAGTTTCTCAAATGCTGTTATGGCTAATGGTATACTGTGCTACAAGAATTAATGCAAAAAGATTTTTAAAAAAGTAAATACTGAAATGCTACAGGTGAAGGCACCTGAGTATCCTTCTGGCATCTCTCATTTGTGCACAGTAGGTAAAGTGTCAGATCATATGGTAGACTAAGCTGATAGAACTCTCTATGAAGTCACTGCTTATTTTTGCCAGGAACTTCTTGAAAAAGTGTTCAGAGAAGAGTTAAGTTTGAAGGGTGTTTATGGTGTTTATATTAAGACTATTTATATTTTTCTTGGTATTGTGGGATTTTATTTAGTCATATAACATTTTGAAAGGGGGATAAGGCATGCTAATTGCAGGATATAATTCTGTATAACAAGACAGAACAATGGCTTTCATGGTTTTCTATTTTGGGACAGTGACAAATTCAGTGAGCATCATCTGTATAAATGCATTTCCTTAGCTCACCTGCCATTGGTCAACTATTAGTGCTGCAGTCTTGTTGAATTTTCCATTATTTCATTAGAGCTGAAGGGGGCAAGGAAGGAATATGGTTAAATAGACTTCTCAGTTTGTTGTTATCATCAGGAGTTAGAAGACAGAAGCCCTGGACTCTCTTCATTCAGTAATCTTTAAGGGAATTAGTACAGAGACAAGCCACTCTTAAACCTAAAGTTTTTAAGATGCCTATGTTTCTTAGCATCTCAGTAGATGCTGATTCTTCCTTCCCTCTCTTTTTTTTTTTCTTCTCCCTCTCCAAAGTGTTAAATCTCAAAGATGTGAACACTTTCTATCACAGTTTATCCTAGGCATATTGTATTTCTATATCACATGATCATCAGCCTCAGACATAGAAAGTTTTGAATGACTACATACAAGTATAGGTCTTAGTGTAACTATAAAGTCAGGTTATACAGTGTTGAGCAAATCTTAAGCCTTATTTAATTCTGGTCTACATGCCTTTTTGTCTTTCCCCTCCCCTCAATGTTATATGCCTTTAAGTGACTTACCAAAATTGGCTGTTTATACCAATCCTGAAACGCCTCACCTTCACACCTGTGCTTTATAGGTCATAGTGGAGAAGGTCTCAGGATCTCAGATTGTTGATATTGACAAGAGGAAGTATTTAGTTCCATCTGACATCACTGTGGCCCAGTTCATGTGGATCATCAGGAAGAGGATTCAACTGCCATCTGAGAAAGCAATATTCCTGTTTGTAGACAAGACTGTCCCTCAATCCAGGTGAGAGGCTGTTCACTTGGTATTCAGAACCATTTCACCAAGCTTGTGCATATCTGAGGCACAGCAAACACGCTTCCCCTATCCACTGCCCCTTAGGCTCCCGTGATGATTTAAGGTGTTTGGTTACATCTTAATCTGGTGTAGTTTTTCTCAAGATCTTGATACACATTTTAGTTCTCAAGCTCAGCTGAAAGAGGATTGCAAAAGATTATTATGACTAATTTGCATGGCAAGAAGGTAAGCCATGCAGTTAAGATATCGTAAGTTGTGTAATTGTACATTATTTATATCATCAAAGTAATTAAAAAGTTGCAGTTAAATGCTCAAAAGCAAACACGATAGATTATTCTGAAGAATACCTTACCTCTCTCACCTCACAAAGAAACTGTATTGTAGACCATTTTTTAAGTTTATATTTTCCTATAACACCAAATGCAAAATGAGCATAGAAAGAAGCTTATGTTGTTTTTATATAGGAATAACTTCCCCTGGTTGCTTGCTATATGCAGGAAAATGTACAGCAGAAGGAGCTACTACAATAGCTTGCTATGCAAAAACAGCTTTCACAGTATTTGAAAAAGAGGGCATACTAATGTTACAGAGCTTAGATACAGTATTATCCTTATTTCAGAATATTTAAGGTTGGAAGGGACCTCTACAGATCATCTAGTCCAACCTTCCTGCTCAAGCAGGCACACCTAGAGCATGTGGCACAGGGTGGCATCCAGGCGGGTTTTGAAGACCTCCAGAGTAGGAGACTCCACAACCTCCCTGGGCAGCCTGTTCCACTGCTCTGTTACCCTAACAGTAAAGAAGTTGCTCCTCACCTGGAGACAGAACTTCTTGTGCTTTAGTTTGTGGCCATTACCCCTCGTCCTATCGCTGGCCACCAGTGAGAACAGCCTGTCCCCTTCCTCCCTGCATTCTCCCTTCCTGAACTTATACATATTAATCATATCCCCTCTGAGCTGTCTCTTCTCCAGAGAAAACAGGCCCAGCTCACTCAGCCTCTCTTCATACGAGAGATGTTCCATTCCCTTAATCATCCTGGTTGCCCTTCTCTGGACCCTCTCCAGAAGCTCCACGTCCCAATTATTAATCCTTCTGTATGCAACAGCATCAGACCATTCAGGGAACTGGACCCTTCTAGGTGTGTTTTTGTTCTATTTATGATTCACAAATAGGGACTTTGAGGATTATCCTTTTTGACTGCTTTGTTTGTTTGAATATTAGAAATGCCCAAGTGTTGTCTTTCCAATAGCACCGCCATCAGGAAAAAAAGAAAGGGCACATTGTCTCATTTGCCATGTTAATGAGCATTTCTTACATGCTAGAGAAATATGACCTTGAATCTTCCATATTACTGTGAAAATACAAAAACTGGAATATACAGCTAATAGAAAAAAAAACAATAACCCAGAGGTCAATGGTTCTGCTCCTCTTGTAGTCAGAGTATATTGCATACTCTGTTAGAATATATTGTATGACTAACTCATGCTATCCTTCTCTTCATCCAGAGATTCTGTCTACTACTCACCATGTCCTTTTATTTAATGTACTATCTCTAACTCTTTTCAGCTCCTCTTTTGAGAAAAAAAAAAGTAATACTCATCTTCCTGATCACTCCCTTTGAGTCTGTATCTTTCAGTTTATCATTTTTTTTCTCAAATAGTTTTAGAAAGTCAGGAAAAAAATGAGCTGAGGGTGATTCCTTATTCTGCCACTGATTGATGTCACAGGCCTATTTCATCTGTAGGTAGATGGCTGGAGCATTTATATTTACCAAGTAATCACTTGGGGGATTGAGTGCCCTTCCTCCCTCCCAGAATCAGATATCCTCTTAAAGACTGCAGCTACAGAGGTTATGAATGGCCATCTATTCTGTTTGAAAATGTTTGTCTTTGAAAAAACATTGAAAACTCTATCCACTGAAGAGAAAAAAAAAAATCTATCTAGCTTGCATTTTTTTTGGCCACATGCTTTGGTGCTAACACTATTTTAAACTTTTAAACCACTTTTTACCACTTTTAAACTTTTTACCACTTTTTAAACAAGAGGTAAAACAAAGCTTTTACTCCTCCAAACAACCTGGACCTTGAAGAATCACTCTGTAAAGGATTAAACTTTGACAAACTTTAGACTGAATGATTAGAACAGACAGAAGAATTCAGAGAAAGTGCTCTCAGATTCCTGATCTTGGTATTGGTTATGGCATCAGCAATATATCAATCAGCACCTGAAATATATTAATTTGCTCGTTTCCAATAAAATGAGGAATCATTTGTGTAGAAGTACAAATATAACAAAAATCTAGGCACTCTGCGGATATCCCAGAAACATTTTGTGAAGTCAGGAATCAGCAACTTTTCCTATATTCTTACTTATGTATTTTGATTTACACAGTGATTTCTAAGTTTTAGCTCTTATTAATCCTTGTCTAGGTCAGACTCTAACTTTTGCCATTTGCAGCAGTCATGACTTAGACAAGCTGTTTCTCATTTTTTCTTCTCTTCAAGCTTAACTATGGGACAACTTTATGAGAAGGAGAAGGATGAGGATGGATTCCTGTATGTTGCCTACAGTGGAGAGAACACATTTGGTTTTTGAATCCTAGATCTTGGCTACTACACCATCCTGCTGTGTATCTTGTAAATAGCTAATCATCTTCTGTAACGGCATCCACAGATGTTCCTTCTATATACATGCATTGGTAATTGGATTTATTTCCTAATATACCAATAGGTCTTGTTTTATTAGACTGGTAAGTTATCAAAAGTTGAGGGGGTTTTGTTTGGTTGGTTTTTTTTCTTGTGTGTGTGTTTTTTTTTTGTGATTTCGTTTTTCATGGCTGTGAATCCTCAGAGTCTCACTCCTTTGGGGGATAAGTTTAATGACGTTAAATAATAAAGCAAAGTGGTTGGGCTACTAGAAGATGAAAAGGAGGAATATTTAATTATGCTGATTTTGAAGTGTTAGTTTAGCAAAAATGAAAATATTACATCAGTAATGGGAACCCTGGCTTTGCTAGATTATTCTGAATAGTAGAAAGATGCTGATCATGTTGAACTGAGCTAATATTTTCCTCTTTCTTGGTTAACCAACAAGTACAATAAAAATTCCTCCCACAAACAGACAATACTGTCCTTTCTTTACCTTCATTTTGTCCAGAAAGTTGTACATCTTATTTACTAAACATTATACGGATGTTCAAATTCACAGAAAGGAAACAAGGACATGTCTCTGTATACCAAGAACTGCAGAGCTACTCGATCTCATCAAAGGAGGAGCCCTTGGGTTTTCAGTGGAGGAGTAACACCGTGGGCTTTGGAAAGCAATACTGAGATGACAAGAGGAGTAGCATAAAAAAAGAGTACCTGGGTGAGGGAAGAGTAAGAGTAGGGGACCAGAAAGCTGGACAAGTAGATAAAATTATCTGTACATGAGTTATGAAAGAAAGAAACAATTAGTAAAGAGTTCAGATCAAGAGATTTACAGATGGTTATAAAAATATAGCTGTCCCTTCCAAATAAAAACATTACATAACCAAATGATGGATTTACTGAAAGAGCTGAGAAAACTTGAATTAGAGGTGAAAAATGTCAGCTAAAAAGATAAAACCAAGCTTTAGTCTTGAAAGAAAGATCATTCCCTCTACTTTAGAAACATTATTGCTGAAGCATGTGTACAACACAGCAAAAGTATCCTTACTTTTGCAGAAGTATCCTTAGCTTTGCAAGAGCCCAGAAGCACAGTTATTCCTATATTCATATTCAATTCCTTTCCAAATGGACTTGCTGTACTGTATTTGTGGCTCTGAGCTATGAACTGTGAGTGTGGAAATGGCAAAAAAACAATCACAAAGTACCAGAGTTCATGCTCTTATGGGAAAGACAAGACAGGGTTGGGAAAGTTGCATGTCTTCGAACATGATAACACAGCAAGGAAACACTGTTAATACTTACATTCACACTAACTATAACTCCCAGTAAGTCATCTTCTACCTTAAATTATATTTGGTTTTACAGGTCTTACTGGCAGGCACATTCAAAAGAAATCCAAAATATTTCTTTTACTGAGAAGACAGTGTTGGTACTGCTTTATTATTGAGGCTGTTTGCAATACATGCAAGTCCTTAACTGCATCTAAGAATTTCACAGAATGGTTGAGGTTGGAAGGGACCACTAGGGATCATTTAGTCCAACCCCCCTGCCCCAGCAGGGACACCCAGAGCACATGGCACAGGTTCACATGCAGGCAAGTTTGGAAGAGACTCCTCTCCAGGGAAGGAGACCCCCACAACCTCCCTGGGCAGCCTGTTCCAGGGCTCTGTCACCCTCACAGTAAAGAAGTTCTTCCTCATATGGAGATGCAACTTCCTATGAGTCAGTTTGTACCCATTACCCTTTGTCCTATCACTGGCCACTACTGAGAAGAGTTTGCCCCCCTCCTACCTACATTCACCTTTCAGCTACTTAAATATGTGATCAGATCCTCTCTCAACCTTCTCTAGGCTAAACAAGCCCAGCTCATTTAATCTTTCGACAAGCTTTTCAGGATTCTGAAGAGCACTGCAATGTATAGCTGTACTTTAGTAAACAGTCTGTCACCATTTCCATTTTGGATTATTTCCATCCCTTTTTCCATGGATTTAGTATTAATGCTTACTCTGAAAAGAATTTCTGATTCAGAAGCAAGACAAGAAAATGTTTTCAGATGTGATTATTACTATCTTTCATTACTGAAAAATGTTGTTTCCTTTAGCTGAAACTTTGCAGTTATAGTTCTGGCTTGTTATTAACAAAGTAACTTTCCCCTTTATAACTACAAGATAAAGCTAATTATATACTAGCACAGAGATATATCTGACCAAAAAGTAGGCAAGATGAAGTTTTATTTCCAATGTTTTGCCTGAAAAGACTTGGAATTCTCATCATCAGCCTTTAATAATAATAATAAACAGTAATTACAGCTACACTGTTTCACTAGTTAGTTTTAGCAGCCTAGGTTTACAAGTCATTTCAGAGAATGCAGATCTAAAGATTCTATGGCAGTACCTTTACTTTGCATCTACAAATAAAAACAAAACAGATCAAGAGATTTTCATTTGAACTGCTCCTTGCACAGTCAGTCTTATAAAATCATTAAAATCAACTTGTCTAGTTCATCTGGTGTCCACATGATCACATCATTTCCTGTTAACTCTTCAAGAGTAGGAAGGCCTTTCAGTTTATACACTAACAAATAAATGGAGTAAATACGAAACCATTCCAACACTAATGTTTGTGTCCTGTATTTTGAAGCTGGCCTGAAATACCATCTCCTGCATAAATAAGCAAATAGACCAAAACTGTCTTGCTTCTGTCTGTAGCACTGCTGCAACAGTTTACACACCCCTTTCATAGTAACAGTTTCAGATATTTAGAATGGTTATGCTTTGAAGGAAAGAACTGTTAGACATTTCCACTGCATTTGGTTCCAAGTGTTAACTGTAACATATTTCTTTCTTCCTTGTTGAAGAAAGAAAGCAACCTCTCAGAAGTAACTCTTCATTTTCGTGCTTACACCTCAAGCATATCCCTTCAGGTATGGTTTCAACTCAGACTGCTTTCTGTCATTGCAAAAGGGAAGCCTGATTCCTCCCCTTTCTGTTTTATGCAATTCAGTCTTGGCTTCTTCATTGCTGTAGGGTTTACCAGGCTGATTGCTGTTTTAACATCCTGTGAAAAGCTATCTTGTTTTGGAGTAATAATAGTTTGGTTTTCTGCAAGGAAACAGTAATTCAAATTGTCTTCAAATCATTTGGAATATATGGAGAGCAATAAGCAGCCAAAATGAGGTAAATCATAGAAATGTGATGCTAAAAATCAGTCCCTTTCTTTTTCAGAGGTGATTGGGTACTAGCTCATTGTCTCATGAGACTACCATCTCAAACTCAACCTGTCAGTTGTGAACCTGGATAAAACTGGCTGTTTGTATTCCCTAGTTCTGACTTCCTTAAAGGCAAGGAGCCTGTCTGCCTGCACTGCACTGCTTCTTCACATGACTGAGAAAGCAATGGTTTCTCTTAACTGTGAAGTTTTTAGAGGCATCCCATTTAAACCAAGAATTACTCTTTTTTTTTTTTTTTTTTTCCCTAGCAAATGGGAACCATTGGTGCCCACACTAGTTTGGGGAAAAAAAAAAAATCAAACTACTGGCTGAGTAATATAAATATATTCTGTAGAGCAATTTACACGTGCCCAGGGAATCTTAGTGTCCTCATCTGTTTTGTTGTTTCCAGTGACAACTACTTGTTTGTCCCCATGAACATTATCTGTGGACATTTCACTCCCTTAACCTGCTCTCCCGTGGCAGGGTCTCTGCCACATGTTATCTACCTCTGCTTTTCTGTGCATCAGCTATTTCATCCTTGAATAGCTCAAGTCATACATGCGTAGAACATGTCAAGTGTTACCTTCCAGAAGCAATTCTTCCAAAGATATACAGGCAATGGCAGACATTTAGTTTGCCACTTCTTCCAAAAGCAGAATTTACCTCTGCATTTTTCTGTTCATATTTTCTGTGCAGTTTCTCAGTACTGGCTACAGCATTTCCCAACATTTTGGAATTAATCAGATATAATATTTACACACTGCTATTTTCAGTCTCAGAAATACATCAGGTAAGAACCTGCCAACTTAGCAAATTAGTCTTTTAAATGCAGCTTCACATCCTTCCCTCTCTGTGTGTATTCAGAGACAGTCATTAGGCTGAAACATGCCTTCATCTCCACGCAAGGAGCAAACTTAGTACTGGCATTCACAACTTCTAAAGCTGCTTTTAAATTTGACAAGCGGCAGAAAGTAGCAGTCTACAGTTAATGAGCGTTTCACAAATGCACAGGAAAATCTTACCAGCGACAATTCTTCTTAATAGCCATGTTCAAATGTTATGGCTACAAGACTCTGCCCTTAGGGTTTTATTTTCTCAGTTCTGCTAATTGCTACCATTTTCTCCTTGATTGCTTTTCTGCAGTTCACCTAGTAACCCATTTGCAATGGCATCTAGTTCGACTTCTGATCTCTCCTACCACCTGTCCAGTCCCATATGCAACTCAGTAGATGCACTGTAAAGGTTAGGAGGCCTTCTCTTCCTCCCCCCCCCCCCCCCCCCCCAAAACCAAAACAGTAGTGAAATAGCAAAGATCAGAAAACTCAGAATCACTAAAGACATTTTAAATTCCAAGTTATCACTTATACTCCCATTGCTTCGCCCAAGTACTCACTAGCAACAACGTGGTCCTGAAATTACTGTGCGAAGGCAATAATTGGGACAGGAAATATAAGGAGAATCATGCAGTGTTTCCTCCCCAGCTAGCAGCTTTGGACTCTTTTGCCAAGCAGAGGTTACTTTGCAATACATCACAAAGGCAAAGACTGCCATGGCCTATTTCCAGTCCCCCCCAAAGGATCTCCCCTTTTGCCAGGCTACTAACAAACACTTGCCAGGAAACAGTGAGATAAACAGTGAAGTCATCCCTGCTTTTCATTAACCACTTATCATGGGGGGAGGAGGTACCTGAAATACTGAAAAGTAGGTAAACATTTGCCTGTAATTTTACACAACTGACAAGTGTCCGGAGGTTTCTTTCCCATTCACATGAGCACAGCATTAAAGTGATATCTGGTAAAGTCCTGAAAAGGAGATGCAGCACACGCTATGTGCTGTTTAATAGAGTCATCTTCCCACCACTCTTTTGCTTCACTAGCTATTTGTAGAAATAGACATTTACATGAAGAAGAAAAAATATCTTTCAACAGAGCTAATACTTCCACTTAGGTGCAATGGGACTAGGGGGAACAATGTTTTTTCCAGGCACCAAGCAAGAGAGCCAAGAGATACAGAAGTAAAACTTACCATAGATTAGGGTTGTTCCAGCAACACAAAACCAACCACAGAAGTAGGAAGAGGGGGAGAAATAAATAGCATTAGAGTTTTACAATGACAGCCTTTCTTCCACAGCAATTTCAGTTACTTTTACTCCCATTACAGTAGACTACAGATGTAGTACAGATGTATGAGAGGGTGGCACATCACAGCTTCCTTTCCACTGGTGATATATTGCCTTATGTAGGTCAGAATTTTAAGTCTACAATGATGAAAAGGGGGCTTCAAATAAATAAGGACTTTTCAACAGATTTTCTTTTCGCTCACATCTCTCTGAGACACAGAAACTAGAGCACATATTTTCCTGCCTTTTGAAATGCAGAGGTATCTACTGCGTACCAGGGCTTATATATTTTCATGAGAAGTGCAGGTATTCCTTGGCATTCTTGACCCAGCCCTGCAGGGCTTGGCTACGCAGTACTTCCCAGGCTTCTTGATAATTTAATGAAGCTTCTTTATAGTCACAATAGGTTTCAAGAGTCTTCATCCTGACACAAAATATACAACAATGAACAATAATTCTATTAACGTATAGGATGCAAGTGTCACAAAATATAAATAGCCAAACATTTAATAATGCTAATGCATTCACTACGTTCCATGAATTTTCCTGTGTTGCACTTCTCAGGAAACTGGAGAGGTCTAGGTTCTGAAAGAGTTAGTGGTTTGCAACACTGTCAGCAGTTACCATAGCAGCTTCTCAGCAACAGAAAAGACAGAAGAGACAACAGAAGTGTCTGAATTGTAACAAGAGGTTACAGAAAACTTCCATGATAGCAAAAAAATGCAGAAGCAAAGTAGAAAAGGTGGCTAGAGAAGAAAGCTTTGAATTGGGTGGATGAGACTATGTTTTACTAGAATGGATATAACTGTTGGACAGAGGAGAAGGGGCCAGCAAGGAAAAGGACGTCTTTTCTTTTCCAGCACAAAATAAATGGGAAGTGTGACAGAAAGAAACAGGAAGCAAGGAGAAATATTTTAATCTTCTCCCTAGAGAATGGGAGATAGCAGTTCCCATGCTCTGCTCCCCTCCTTCACAGCAGCCACTCCCGCAATCTCAGCAGAACCACTGGCCAATATGCCGAAGCGATTACACCATTATACCTCAAAATAGGAAACAAGATTATAATTGAAACACAAGAGAGCACAAGGAAGATCAAAATAATTTCATTAAGACTTTGCTTCTTTCCTCACTGTCCTTTCCCCATCCTCTTCACAGGATCACAGAATGGTTGAGTTTGGAAGGGACCTCCTGAGATTATCTAGGCCAATCCCCCTGTTCAAGCAGGAACACCTAGAGCACAAACTTCCAAGCAAGTTTGGAAGACCTCCAGAGAAGGAGACTCCACAACCCTCCGGGGCAGCCTGTTCCAGGACTCTGCCACCCTCATAGGAAAGACTTCCTCATAGGACATGAGACTTCCTGTGTTTCAATTTGTACTCATTAACCCTTGCCCTGTCACTGGCCACCACTGAGAAGAGTTTGGCCCCATCTTCTTTACATTCTCCCCTCGGGTATTTATATATGTTGATCAGATCCCCTCTCAATATTCTCCAGGCCAAACAGGCCCAACTCAGTCTTTCCTCATACAACAGATGCTCCAGTCACTTAATCATCTTTGTTGCCATCTGCTGGACCCTCTCTAGAAGCTCCACATCTCTCCTGTCCTGGGGAGCCCAGAACTGCTCCAGTACTCCAGGTGCGGCCTCACCAGAGCTGAGTAGAGGGGCAGGATCCCCTCCCTTGACCTGATGGCAACACTCCTCCTGATGCAGGCCAGGATCCCATTGGCCTTCTTGACCACGAGGGCACTGCTGCCCCATAGGTAACTTGTTGTCAACCTGGACTCCCAGATCCCTCTCCAGAGAGCTGCTTTCCAGCAGGTCAAGCCTTAATCTGTACTGGTGCATGGGGTTATTCCTCCCCAGGTGCAGGACCCTGCACTTGTCCTTGCTGAACCTCAAGAGGTTCTTCTCTGCCCAACTCTCCAGCCTGTCCAGGTTCCTGTGAATACCAGCAAAGCCCTCAGGAGTGTCAGCCACTCCACTCAGTTTGGTTATCATCCACAGATCTGCTCATGGTGCCCCCTGTTGCCTCATCCAAGTCATTGATGAACAAGTCGAACAGCACTGGGCCCAGTAGTGGCCTCTGGGGGATACCACTGGCTACAGGCCTCCAACTGCACTCAGCCCCATGACCCTCTGAGCTCTGCCATCCAGACAATTCTCAATCTCAATCTAACTCACGCTTCCTGAGCTTCCCCCCATGAGGATGTTATGAGAGACAGTGTCAAAAGCTGCAGTCAAGTAGACCCCTTCTTCTCTCGCTTCCAGTCTCCTTCAGTGTTATGAAACATGTAAAATACATGAGAACCAATAGGTCTCATAGGCCTGAGAACCAATAGGCCTGAGAACCACTGCACAAAGTTCCAGAGCAGACTTCCATGTCTTTTGGTTTTACAAACGAACACAGGCAAATTCTTAAGAAAATCAAGAGAACGTCCTCTGCTTTAGTCTAGATATTTAACCCCAAAAGTCATTTTAAACCCTTGTACTCTTAATTGCTTATTTCTAGCCATCATAGAGCCACACGTACCTATGTACAACAGCCCATCCCCTTTCATGTAGGGTCACTGGCACGAGAATGACCAATAATTCAGACTGAATGGGAAGGAGGAAGAAAGCACAATCTTATTTGTGATGGCTCCTGACTTTGATTTAAAAAAGGAGAGGAACAGTCATCCATGTGACAAGCCTGGCAAAAAACTCAGTCTGGGTTTACATCACAAAGTCTCATTTATACTCAGAGATGGGCAGTCAGCCAAACTTTGCATGAAAGGCAGTTAGCTGACTCTACCGAGTGGATGCCACTATACAACAACAACCAAAAAGGATTTATTTCCTTATGTAATGGACAAGGCATGACTCTAACAGCAGATAAAATACCCAACAACACAAAAAATCTGCCTTCGCCTTACTTCTACTAATCATTCTGCGAAGAACATTTCAACCTCTGAAGTAGTAAATGTAACAACTCAGATGTAATAGTATCTGTTGACACAGGTCAAAAATTTGCCAACATTCCTTTAAAAGTGAGCACAGAAAATATGAAATTGATGCAGAAAGTGACAGGTGACATTAAACAGAACTGAATAAGGTGACAGCCTAGATGCTGTAACAGAAAAGGGTGGATTCATGTACCAGGAATTCCAAAATATTAACCCTAAATAATGTAAGGAATAAGTAAGTAGGAATAAGCAAGAAGTTATGTATATATGTAGGTATATGTATGTGTATGAGTATTTTTATAGGTTTGATATTTTAAAATATTTATATATATATATATATATATATATATATATATATATGAAACAGTCACTGGCAACATTTCAGGTAATCTACCCAGGGAGCAAATCCAGGCATTTATATAAGGCACAAGAGATGGACATCTTAAAGATTACCTAGTTTTTCGTGAGGTACCTTAATCTGACCAAAAAACTCCCAAAAAAGAAAGAAACAGCAAGAGGAAGACTTGCATTTTTTGTTTGAGGAAAAAGTAGGAAGGATGGCTTCAAAAGAGAAGCAGCTGGACAGTCTGTCTGGTGAGCTAGCACCTCTGCTGTATAAACAGAGTTTGCATAGCCTCAAATGATGCCACATCTGTGAACCAGCTGGACTTGGACAGGAGAAAGAGAGAAAAATGGTAAAGGACAAAAAAGTCAAAGGAAATTACAAAGCCACTGGAATCTAAAAAGGCCTGAGGTGAAGGGACTTTATGTAAGCAGTGCATGATTAGCATAATGAGTCACCTAACCAACAGCACACTAGTTCATACTTCGATGAAATTACAGTGGCTAGATAAGTGAGGAGCAACTTTCAACCCAAAGACACATTTTTTTTTACATTTAAAACAGAATTAAGAAAAAAAAAATCTCTATATCACATCAGTTGAAGTCATTACAGCAATAATGTGGTTTACATAGATATCAGTGTATTTAAAGTTACATGGATTTTCATACCTACACTGAAGAAAATATCTGGAATCCTTAATCCACTAGACATAGGAGTAAGCAAAATATGATGATTAAAGACTCCACACACTCTTGGTTGAGCTCCTCTTATCTAATGGCTTGGTGCCACTGAAAGACAGAGTGGCATCACTATGTCCCCTGCTTCCAGCTGCACATAGTGTCTACTTCTGCCCTATTCCTCCACCTTTTTTTTTTTCCCCCCCCTCCATGGATTGCATTACTTGTTTTAATTTCCATGAACAAATTCACCTCATTCATCCATCAGAAGTCACTGAAGACAGGGAAACTGTTTTCTGCCATATTAGCTAGAGCTATAGGAACATATGGCCCTATTAATAACTGCAAGCAATTAAGTGACCTTGACATATGATCTAATCACATCCCAGGACTGGCAAATTTATAGCTGAAAACAAGACCAAAAGAGAAATCAATTTCCAAAACAATGGATTTGGTACCTTCTTTATCACTTGTAACAGCTAAGTCAGAGAGCTATTTACTCTTTCCTAATGTGAGGCTCCAGATCAGAACAGCTACCCCAAACTCTTAACTCCAAAGTAAGAAGCCACCTGTGATTTTTCCTCTCATTAATACTTGAGATGCCATATCTACTTTTCCAAGGAAGTGAATAAAAAGATCTAGAAAGACTCTTCCTAAACCATCAAGCACACGCCATATTTTTCAAGTCTCAGATTTTAACGACAAGGTTATCAAAAGTGAGACTCATGAGAAGATTCTGGTATCATCACAGTACACTTGGAATTTATGAAGATAAATTCACTTTTCTAGCTATTGAGAAAACAACTTTACCTGAGAGTGTCTGGAAGAATATCCTGTGAAATACTTGTCACCAGCTTTTGGAATGTATGGAAGAGTTCTACTTTACAGATCTTGGATCTGACAGAAAAAAAAAAAAAAAAGAAATCAGAAATTTCAATCAGACTTCTCAGAGTAAAAATCAAAATGAAAACAAATAGCTTCCCTCGACCTCCCCCTCACCCCCCACATACACACAATATTGCTGAAGTAGATCTGTCACATCAGACCTAGAGCAATGATTGATCAGTTAATCCTGTCCTCTCTCATAAAGTTTGGACTGGAAGTTCTCAAACACGATTAACCAGATCCCAGAACCACGTATTTCTAGAACTGCTTTCAAGAACAACTGAATAAAGGGTACATAAGAGCATTTTGTGCAACAAAAGACAAGTACCTGAATAATTCTGACTTCACAAGAATGCTGGTATTTTGTATCCAGCAACAGTAGCAAGGTAGTTAAACACAAAGAAAGGCTCCTTCATCCTTTTAATAATGAAAGTCATTCAAAGTTTTAAGTCTTTTATAAATACCAAAGGCATCCCTAGCTGTAGGCCTTAAACTTCTCTCTTCTCCTCAAACAGCTATTTTAAAAACATATGTTGTTTTGAAAGTCCCTCTTTTCTCTACTGATTTAGATCTTCTGTATTTGTCCTCACAACAACCAATTTGATTTTCCAAAACATGCAATCTGATTCTCCAGAAACATTTTAAAAGCTTTATATTTTGCTATTAAGTTGCATACTCCAAATTAACATGCAAAGATGCTCTAAACTTTCACCTTCATATCATTTTATCAAAGGTTCATATAGTAGTTTTTGTTGTTTCAGTTACTTAAGCATTAACAACGCACATACCAGAAAGTCTATCTACAAATTCCTTCTGCTCAGTCAGTTTTACCTTACTTGTATCTACTGTTATCTAGATTGGGTTTCTGTGCTACAGGGAGAAGAGAGGGGAAAAAAAAGCAACTAATCCTTGCTTGAGGGGGAAAAATCTTTCCTTGAGGGGGAAAAGGGGGGGGAGGGAGGAGGAAAGAGATGCAAATCCTGTTTAATATTAAAAAACACTCTTTGTCCCCTCCACTCTCAGGATATAAACTCTGCATTTGGACCTTTATCACAAAAGTATAACTTTACTTATTCTTTAACATAGGTTTTAATCCTGATTTCCTAAGGAAACAAAACTTTTGCAATCATACTGCTTTGTATTCCTCCTCTAATAATCTTTGAATATTCTAACAAATTTCAAACACACCTAGAAAATAAAGAAAACCTCCCAACAAAACTAGGTTCCTACAGTTTTGTGTAAACTCGCAGCTAGCAGAGTTTTGCAGTTGATACAAAATGTTATATAGCAAATATAAGTCCACAAAACAAATGTTAGTCTTTTCATTTTATTATAAAATATTTTAATTATGTATGTATGTGTGTGTGTGTGTGTGGGGGGCATATACTATTCACTTCCTTGGAAAAGCAGAAATGGCATATATATATAAATTCTATATAATTATATAATTAAATTTTAATTTTTATTACGTTTTATTATATTTATACATTCTTTGGAATCGCTTATACATATATTGCAAACTGGTTACAGTTTGCATATACATAGATACATACTGCAAATTGGTTTTCACATAAATCACTCAGGTCATCTGTGATAATACCCCAGACACTGATACTGTTCACAAGCTACAAGATTCCCGGTCCTCTTCTTTCTACAGATGGGCTGGAAAAAGTGAGCAGAGATTTATTCCTTTTCAGAAAATGCCTTATGCATCCCACAGGGCTAAAACAGATGCATGTTTGCTGACGGGTGAGATATATGCATCCAGATAACACCACATTCCCATACCTGCTCTGATGGCTGCCGATCCCCTTCTTTGTTGTTCCCTGACGGAAGCCATTTGAGGTGACATCCAGAGGTTGCTCGGGGACTGAACTCCAACTGATAGCTGTGGAAAAAAGCTTTATGAACAAGAAAGACACCTAGCACAAAAGCAAACCTTACAGTTTCTTTCAGGCACTGTGTTCACATGATACTGTGCTGCTTTCCCAAATAAATCAGATAAACTATTAAGTGTTAGGAATCATGATTTCACCTTAATCAACTTCTTTAGAAATTGACACCTCTTGAAACACTTGGCCTCCAACTTCATAATTCCCCCTCACTTTTAAGGGATTTTTACCGTCTTTTGTGTATCCTATGAAGAAATCGCAGCGCTTATTTTCATATTATGCTGAAAAATACTCCCCATCCCCTACAACTTGCACCATTCACCCTGTTTTTCCTTACTAAGTTTACCTTAGGTCATCTGCATAGTGATTTAGGTTTGACATGTATATACATCATGTAACTATGGAAAATAACTAGACAGTAGTCAACTAACAACAAACTTCTAGAAGCAACATTAATCGCCAACATCCTTATCTTTTGTCCAAACCCCAATACTTAATTACCATCTTGAAAAATAAGAATATTGGTGCTGGAACTCTGAATTTTACCTCGGCATTGCAGCACTTGTCCTCAGCTCCTCCAATACATCTTTGAATTTGACATTACTGATAATTTTACATCAAACATCATTACTTAACTCTCTCAGTCCACTATTACGAACTGCATTTATTCTTGTCTTGTCTCTGACTACACTTTATAGGATTAATTTGATTGTAAATCTAACCTTAAACTCAACAGAACTATGTGAGCTCTCCAGAAGGAGCCAAGCCATAAGACTACATCACTACATCGCATGACTTCCACCTTGGTCACCATGACAAGAAATGCAATGTCCCCAAACTATGTCAATTAAATTTTTATAATGCACTAATCCGCATTCTTTTTACATTCACAGATTTCTAGAGAGATTGCAAGCATAAACCTGCATGACAAGCTTTACAGCCTTATGTTCATTAACCAGAAAAGTGCATAACTAACCAGTATAAAGTATTTTGATATATGTTGTCCTTCTATCACCATTAGAATATGTCTTCACCTGTTACTTTCCATTTTTTATTTTAATCAGTAAGAAAACTGCCTACAGGGAAGTCATGCTTTGTCATAAGCACTAGCAATAAAATGCAATTTTATAAAATTTCATCAAAATGACTATTTTTTTATTTGATCTTTTGCACACTATGAGTATGCAACTACTTCTGCCTCTATTTGAGTCTAACGCACCTGCACCACAGGGAACAAGTTTTGTTTTGCTGTTAGTTCGAACTTCCTGGATTGCCTGGCGACTATGTTCAAATTGAAGATTTGACTGCAGTAGTCTAACCTCCTGAGTGAAGAAGCCATCTGGTAAAAATGAGATCTGCTGACACCTAGAGTAAAAATGGAAGAATGCAAGTGATTTAAAATCTTGTTTTCCAAGACAAGCAGATTTGTAAAATCTCCCTTCATACTCTGAAATATATTACTTTTTAAACTGAGGGGTTTTCTCTTTCTAAACAATTCTTGACTAGGTTCTAAAAAGTCAGATATTTTAGTAAGACCATGCCTGTTCCAGAAAATGGCAGTGAACTGATTTTAAAACACATCAAGTTAAAAGTATAAATCCATAGAGATAAGGTATAAAAGAGAGAATGACATCCTAAGCCAAGCCTTTTAGATGATTTAGTCTGACACCTATCAGTTCCACCTCCTTTTTCTCTCTTGATCTCCTTTTCTAATCAATAAATTCTCTGCATTCCCTTGATTCAGTTTCTTAAAGAATAGTTTTTAATCTTTTGGTTTGAGATAATTTTCATCAACTCAAGAATCTGGGAAGCACAGAAGTCACTGCATATTGCACAACTTCACTCATTTAGAAGCAGTGGGCTCAGTGTCCTGTGTAAATTCCCCTGAGGTGACGGGTTACATTATTAGATCTCTTCTACTCACTGCAGGGAGAAAGATGCATCTGGAATGTATTTGAGATCAACAAAACTGGCAATTTTACCCCAAAGAAAATATACCTAAGCAACTTCTACTCTTTTGTTTCAGCAGACCAGTAAAAGCTATGTGTTAGCTGTTCCAAATTGTTGCAAAGATCCATCTTTTCAATCATTCCTAAAGACGGAAAATAGTCAAAAGTTCTACTTCTTTCAAATTCCAGAGCAGCAGAATAAGAAACAAGTATTTCAAAGGCTGAGTTAGGGAGCCACAAATCTCATCCTTACAGAAGCTGAGGGCCCAGAATTCATGGCCGAATTCTGAAGCACATCTCTCAGCGTACGAGAACCGCAAAGGTGATCTTGCATTGCACATCGAAATCAAGTGTACATTTGAATAGTGGAAAAGGCTAAGGAGAGATGCTAGCTGTTGCGCAAGCGTGAAGCATGCATGCGTGTAAAGTTTTGCACAGAAGTTACAAGGTAACAGTTAACAATGCTGCAAACAAAAATGTATGAACTCATGCTTTTCCAAACTGTTTGTCAAACAGCACTCATTTTTCTAAACAAAAAGGGACAGCATGCAGCAGTTTCAATGTTTGTAACTCAGTATCCTTAGTTGAGCAGCACACTGAGGGCACATAACACAGTCAAAACTTTGCAACAGAATGTTTCAGGAACAACGATTTTGCAATCTTACAATGGTTGGACTTGTATGTATACAGAATAAGCCGAATAATATTATTCTAGGAAACTAAGAAGACTGGGAAGACTTTTAAAAAAGCAAGGAAGAAAAAAAAAGATTTTCTTGTAAAACCTTCCAAAGCCAAGTTTAAATGTTTCATTGCTTGGTCAGATACTTAACAAAAGAGTAAGTCTGAAATTGGTTTCTAAAATCTACAAAATCTGCACAAGAACTAGTAGGATCTTATACAAGGCCAAGTTTTAACAGGTTTTGCAAAGACAAGCAGAAAGACACCTTTTCCACAATTATTCTGTGTGACAGTATTCTGTAACAGTGTATACACAAGCAGTATCTATGTAATAGTAAGAGCAAACTAATTCTAAGTGAAGTCCCAAAGCTGTCAACTGATGTTCTACATGACTATCATATTCACCTGAAATCAAAACCTAACAGTTATATAATCTATTATCCTTACCCATGTGGCCTCTTGAAATCAATGATATTCTCTCTCTCTCATAAAACAGTAGCATTCACTATTTACAGACTCAGAAGAATTTGATAAATCCATGATTAAAGCGTGAAAGAGTGAAAACAAACTGATAAATAAATCTCAAAATGTTCAAGTATGCGCTTGAAAAAGGTTAGCAATGGTTCACACATTTAAACAATCTACTTGCATATTCATTTGGACTCTTTTTAATCAGGTTGCTTTTATGAACTTTTTTTTTTAAGTAAATTTTAGGAAGGATCTGTGTTATTCTGCCATTTGAAACAAAACCAGGACCTCTTTCCCACCAACACAGCGTTTCTATAAAAGAGAAGTTATTGATATTCAGAATGATTTGTCAAGTATTAATATCTAAATAAATAAAAAGTTTTTCTTAAATTTATTTCCTCAAACAGTGTAAGGAGTGCAAGACAAGTTCAGCTTCACCATACTAAAACAAACAAAACACATCCTCGGTTTGTCACCTTTTATTTTCTGTTGGAAGGCTTCTTAGAGGGCCAAGTGGTAAAAAAACACTCATAACTCATAGGAGAAGGAAATAGGTGGATCTTGAATCTACTGGAAAGCAATTTTAAGTCTTCAAATTTGATAGGCCATCAATAATCACCTTTTCTTCATACTACATAGGGCTGTTTTCTGCAAATGTGAATCTGCAGTAATTCACATTTTCTACAGCTTTCGTGCAAAATCCTGCTATTTGTGTGACAGATATTTTCCATAACTCAATCTTTGTACACACTACCTGATTTTCAAAGAAGATCACTTACCTTTCAATAATTGCTCTTCGCATAGCTTCTTGGCTATATGGACACTTCCCCACTACAATTGCTGACAGATACACTGGATACTGCAAGAAATGCATCAGAAGAGCTCCTTGACATCCTAGTACATTCCAGCGAGCTATTTTATCACTGCAGGACATGGAGCATGTTCTGTCCCCACGACCTGGCTTCACTCGCAATAATCCCACACAGTGATACGCTATTCCAGGTTTTCGGACATCACCTAACACTCCAGGTACACACTTTGCTCCAGTTCTATAAATATCGACTACGTTGGCTCTGCCTAGGCCAGCATCTTTATTGGTTCTTTGCACCTCTGCAGAAAATTCAAGGCTCTTTAGATTGGTGTCTTCTAAGCTTGCTTGCTTCCCAGGTACTTGCTGAACAGCTAGGTCTTCGGTGATCATAGGAAAACAACTATCATTAATGGTTTTTATTTTCTTGGTTACAGGATTACTTGCCATTTCCTCTAATTTCCTTTTATCTTCTGGATCCGAATACTCATAGTTTCTACAACGCTTTGCTGATGGCAAATCTGCATTTTCTGCAACCACTGGCTTAGAAAGCTGGCTCTCTGGCTCGCTCATTGGAATAATAGAGGCATCTCCACCTAGAACAAAAGGAGTTACACATAAGCTGGGCAAAAATGCGTTTCAGATGAAAAATCCTCATGCTAGTAATATTACAACTACTGCTAGTTTTCACAGATTTGCACTCATAAAAATGCAGATACAAAAACATACTCTTTAAACAACAGCTCTGTACAATGATGAATCATACTTAAGTGAGATTTGAGACAGTATATGTTAAATTTCAAGTTCTTCCATTTTGCAAAAGAAGAAATAATTTCAACATCAAGACTTAACTAGATTTAAAAAGGGAAAAGTTCTGAAGTGGTTTGACAGACCACAAGCAGAGCTGAAGACTCAACATAAAACTTGCTTGATCCAGCTAAACATCCATCCCAAAAGAACAGCCAAAGCAAGCCCTATTAAATCAGGATGAAAGCTTTAATCTGGGCTAGCAAGACAACGTCAGAATCAAAACTGGGAGGCTGAATTCTAATCAAACAAATCCTGACAGAAACAGAAGGAAAAGGTAGCCAAGGTTATTGTCTTGCTGTTAAACTTGAGGATGTAGATTCTATACTTGCATTTACATTAAGAAAGAAAACCATCAAAGCTAACTCTAGCAATGCAATCAAGGTATGAACAACTGTACTATTTACTGAAAGACATATATGCATGAAGCCCTGATCAGGGACAGTATGAGAATATTTATGACTAGTTTGCTCTCTGGAGATCTTTAAAACCCGCCTGGATGCAGCCCTGTGCCACGTGCTCCAGGTGACCCTGCGTGAGCAGGGGAGTTGGGTTAGATGCGCTCCAGAGGTCCCTTCCAACCTTAAGCATTCCATGATTCTATGATTTTCTTTGAAATTATTGCTTGAGTGTACTTACATGGGGTATGACTGGAAAAGAAAATAAATACGATATTTGGCTTGAGTTTCCATTTTCCAGTTTTCGTTCCCGGAATGAAGATACTGCCTTGCTGGTAGGAAACTGCCAGCTGCATCTGATGGAGAAGATACCTGTTGGGCAAAAAGTTCACAAGAATTGCATGCTTAATTTGTGGCACAAGTGAAAACAATAAGCTTTAGACACCCACTAGTACTTGCTCATTTCTGGTAAAGCAACCCAAATGACTGGTTATGCTTCAGTAGACAGATGTGACCCAACACACTCCATAAGCACAAAACACAATCAGAAGCTTGGCAACAGAGCTCAAATGTTAGATTCAAAAGAGTTAGCTACCTCTTCAATTTGTAGATCTAAGATTCTCTCTTCCCATTCGTACTTTTTACCAACACTGCCACTCATCTAACTCCATGAGAATCAGGTTAGTGGCATAAAACTGCAAAAACTGTATCCCTATTTTTGTAGTATTACTATACTATCAGTTTAGATGGTTCAGACATTTTTTTCCACGTGACCAATAGGTTTGGCATGTGGGGAAAAAAGGCGACCATTCTTTACAGGTAATTAGCATTTTTGACATCTAGACCATCATTGATATCACATGAAAATCACATCCCCTTTCTTCATATAGAGGCTCTACTATAATGACAATGAAAAAAAAACTTCTGTGAAAGCACCCTAAAAGACTAATCAGATTTGTAAAAATTAGGCTTATCTCCTGCCAACAAAATGACCAAAGAAGAGTTGCTTATAGAGCTAATACCTCCTCTTTCATTATTTTCTCATAGCTGAAGCTAAAAATTCTGGCTATTTGAGATAAAGATCAAAAGCCCTCACAGCATCACAACTTCAAGTGGCATTAAGCAACAGCACATGGACTTCACGTCTCACCTCTGGAAGCTCCTCTTGGCCACAACTTCAGCATGACTGTCATTCAGAATGTCCCCTAAAGCAACATCCAGAGAAGAACAATACCAGACTATTACTGAAGAAACCAACACTACAGGTAGAACAAAGTCTAACAGACAGGGCACACACTATTCCAGACTTGGCAGCATTTGAAGATTTTGAATTGGTTAGGTAAAACAGCTGGGTTATTCCAAAATATTTAAACTTTAAAACACTACAGAAGGAGGTCAAAAGTATATATCAAAGAATGCAAGTCCTCACCCCTGAAGTAAACCACAGACTGATTAAAATACTAAATTTAACATCTCCTGAAATATGAAATCCTTTGATTTCACACAGGCTTCCTTCAGTATTTTCCTGGCACAGTGCCTCATGATATTCTCAGCATAAGCATTACATCCAATGCTTTTTAAATGTTTGTTAAGTTTTTGGTCAAAAAAAATTATTCTTGCACTAAAACCAACAATACAAACTACATTTTGGGTAAGCGATACAGGTTTCTATCAGGTCTGCCTCCCTCTATACCTAAAGAAACAGGATAGAAAATGTAAGCTGTATGTTATTTCAAAGTAAACGGTCATATGATAAATGCATATCTTCTTAAGGCACAATTCCTTAACTATTTAAGCTTTTCCACAATCATTCCACATATAGTCCTTTAACTCCTCACCAGTCTGCAATAACCCTTAAGTAAGGCAAGAGGAGCTAAAATACCCAGTTAAGTGACACGATTGATATAAAGGTACCTTTTTGGTGCACTACCCATGTATCCCACAGTTTGATATTTTATTTAATTCCCAATCAGCTGCTGAAGAGATACTTTAGCTGCAATACTAACTAGCTAGTAATACTAACTGGCACAATCTATATAGTCAATTTAACTCTTATGGGAGATACCAGCGATGGAGACTTTATGCTCTAGAGCATGATGTTGCATCTGTTTAAACATTAATTTTCTTCTATATTTTCTTCCTACTTCTTTCTAACTCTAATTAATTTAAATGTGCTACAACATCTGCCAGTTTTCTTTTTTCCACACCAGTATTATCCCCTTTTTAAGGTAACCTAAGAAGAGCTAGTTCATAACTTTATCCCCTGGCAACACGAATCCTTTAATAAATCATTCTTTCTGCCTCTCATGCTCTTAATCGAAGACAAGAGTCTCTTCCTCAATTCACTTTGACAGGTGCAACTTAAAAGGACCATCATCAAAGCCTCTAGAAAGCTTACATGAATTACTTTACTTTCTACTATACTAACATCCTATAGACTGTAGAAGTTAGCTCAAAGAAACCAAGTCTCTCTAACTGGGACCTTAGTACAACCTTTTCTTCTCAACCTTTAAGGAAAATGAACATGTTGAAGATCATCTAAGTTTAACTTAAAAATAAATGAATGTAACATAATTGAAAAAAATAAATGACTACTGAGGAGATAATAAAAAGGACATAACAGGACATATCCTGGATATTTTCCTGGATATTTTTTTCCTCTGAAGCTTAATGCACAGATCTCAAATAGTACAACAGTTCATTTTCCATTTTTCTAAGCAAATCAGGAAAATATCTGTAATGTTCTAAGACGGTTTAGTCACAGGAAACATCCATAAAAATTCCCCCCTCACCCCCCGCAAAAGTCCCATAATGAATAATAAATAGCTTACCAGAAACCAGAATCAACAATTATGGGAAATTACTATCTCATATCCTCATTTGGGGAGGAATAACCCTGGACACCAGTACAGATTAGGCATGGACCTACTGGAGAGCAGTCCCACAGAGAGGGACCTGGGTGTCATGGTGGACGACAAGTTGACCATGAGACAGCAGTGTGCCCTGGTGGCCAAGAAGGCCAACGGGATCCTGGGGTGCATTAAGAAAAGCGTCTCCAGCAGGTCGAGGGAAGTGATCATCCCCCTCAGCCCTGGTGAGGCCACATCTGGAGTACTGCGTCCAGTTCTGGGCTCCGCAGTACAAGAGTGATATGGAGCTGCTGGAGAGAGTCCAGCGCAGGGCTACCAGGATGATCAGAGGCCTGGAACATCTGCCMTATGAGCAAAGGCTGAAAGAGCTGGGTCTGTTCAGCCTGGAGAAGAGGAGGCTGAGGGGGGACCTGATCAGCGTGTATAAATACCTCAAGGGAGGCAGTGAGGAGGAG